GCGCATACAGGATCCAAGAAGCATCGTTCACTTGACCTCACCATGCCAAGATAAAGAAGCAAGTCGATTTACCCTTCGTGTATCCGGTAGCCCTGATGCTGCTTCCCCGGGTCTCGCTGGTATAGGTATAGCATTGGGTCCTAGGGCAGAACTATCTCTCCTTGACTGGATCCCTGTAGACAGTCGCTTGTGCGCCGTTCGACTAAACGGGACAGTAAGGATTCGAAAGGATAGGGACACTCGTCGTTGCCTCTTCGTCATATCAGCCTACGCCCCAACTGACTGTAGTCCAGACGAGTTCTACAGAAAGCTTTCGGACCTCTTACAATAGGTTAGGCGCTCTGGTGTAGTAATAATGGCTGGTGATTATAATGCTCAAGTAGATAGACTAAGTGAAAACGAAAGACACCTAGGTGGATGTTATGGTGTCGCGGCTCAAAGAAAAGACAATGGCGACCGTCTGTTGCAACTATGCTCAGATAACCACCTATTTCTAGCAAACACTTATTTTAAGCATAAGGAAAAACATCTTTTGACCTGGCGACCCCCAAAGTCGTCTCAACGTTGGACGCAACTAGATCACATCGCCATCAGCCACCGATGGAGGGGTTCGATAGAGGACTGTCGCTCGTTCTAAGCACATGTTTGGATTCAGATCATGCCCTAGTGCGAGCACGTATTTGTTTGAGGCTTACTGGACGTAGGAAAGACACCGTAAGGAAGCCTCTTAGGGTTTTACTTGATGATAATCAAGCTAAGAAAATATTTCAGGAGGAACTAGAAAAATAGTTAGGCGACCATGCACGCGGTTCCCATCCGGAGGAAGGTTGTTATGATATCAAAAAGGCTGTGGAAACAGCAGTGATATCTGCTGGTAAGGTTAACCATAAGGCTAGAATGAAGCCGTGGATCTCTGTAGCATCCACCGATCTGATGGATGCCCGGAAACTCATCCCACCTGGCTCTGAACATAATGAAGTCAGCTTAAGCGCAGGCTGATAAAAAGCCTGCGCAACGACCGTGAACAGTGGTGGGTGGCGAAAGTAAAAGCGATGGAAAAGGCAGCGGCGATAGGCAACAGAAGGCAACTATTCAGACTCATCAAGGAAACTGGTATTAGGAACCCAAATGTGAGTGAGACTTAGTCTTATTATCTATTCTTAATCCAGGAGACTGGACCGATGGGCAGAACACTTCACCGATCAGTTCAACTGGCCTTCAGCCACACTCCGGTTACCCACGATCTCCAGTCATCCTGAATGGCAAATCGACGTAAGTCCCCTAGTCTTTATGAAGTTGAGAAAGCTATAGGAAATCTAAAGGGAGGTAGAGCAGCAGGCTTACCCCTGAGATGCTTAAGGATGGTGGTCCAGTTTTAACAGTTAGACTGACCGAGATCCTGGAAGTAATCCCATCTGACTGGTCTCAGTCGCTAATTGTCCCAATCTACGAGAAAGGACAAAAGTCTTCTTGTGACAATCACAGGGGAATAAGTCTAACTAATATAGTTGCTAAATTGTTAGCCTCGATTATACTTAGACGTCTAACTAGAGTTCGTGAAGAGCAAACTAGAGAAAACCAGGTTGGTTTTCGACCTGGACGTGGTTGTATAGACCACATCTTCACACTACGACAGGTCCTGGAACACAGACACACATTTGGACGTCCGACAATAGTCGTGTTCCTGGACCTTAAGGCGGCATTCGACTCAGTGGATCGTGAGGTTCTGTGGCAGTGTCTGTCATTGAAAGGTGTATCAAAGTAGTACATTAACCTCATATAAGCTCTCTACTCGAACACCACTGGTTGGTTGAGAGCTTATGGCGAACTGTCACCGGAATTCTCTACGTCAAGTGGTGTCCATCAGGGATGTCCACTCTCCCCATTCTTGTTTAACTTTGTCGTAGACATCCTCTTAGAGTTAACATTAAACTCGTCAGATTTTTCAGGGGTTGACCTACCTGGAAATTCGCTTACTGATCCAGAATATGCCGATGACATAGTTCTATTCGGTGAAGACGCTGACAAAATGCGGTCTTCTGACTACCATAAGCAACAATCCGAGCATGTTCGGGATGCGGTTCTCACCCTCGAAATGCGAAATGTTGCTTCAAGACTGGGTTGCATCGGCACCTGAACTAGTGATAGGGAGTGAAGTAGTCGAGCGTGTTGATCACTTCACTTATCTGGAGAGTCTCATCAGCGCTGATAGCCTGGTGACTGACGAAATCTCAGCACGGATACAGAAAGCTCGATTGGCTTTTGCCAACCTGCGTCACTTATGGCGTAGGCGTGATATCCGTTCGCTAACTAAAGGACAGGTGTACTGCACAGCAGTTCGCTTCGTTCTCCTATATGGATGCAAAACATGGCCGTTAAGAGTAGAAGATGTTCGTAGGTTACTAGTATTCGATCATAGATGTTTAAGAAGCGTTGCTCGTATACCGTGGGACAGCCGAGTAAGCAATGCTGTCGTTAGGAAACGAGTACTAGGTAAGGATGGCAGATCAATAGATGAAGTATTGAATCTTCATCAGTGAGGTGGTTGGGACATGTGTTACGAATGCCTAACCACCGACTGCCTAGACGAGCTATGTTTTGTGGTGTAGGAGTGGGTTGGAAGAAAGACCAAAACATGAGAGAAATGCATGAAGTCAGTGACAAGTGGACTGAATCATGTTGGTAGATGTAGACTACCTGGTTGGAGTCCGCGAGACGAAAGTCACCAATGGTTAGAGACCTTGAATGACATGGCTCAAAATCGCTTGCAGTGGCGCAACTGCATCCATTCTTTGAACTCTCTCAAATCCTAATCTTCTGGAATAGTCAGCACCTCTACCTTTGTCTTTCTAACCTTATCTCACTGAATTATACTTCTTGAATAATAACTTCAAATCCTAGTCTTCTTCATTACCATTAATACCTCTACTATCTTTATCACTATGGGATTTGATTTAACCTTTGCGTCTCTGTGCTAATGCGGTATGGCAACATGAACTTACGTACATACGTACGAAGTTCTACGATACAACTGACTGACTAACGGCCATGTTTCGCATTCGTATAGTAGGATGGAGCGAACTGCTGAACAGTACACTCGTCCTCTGGTTAGCAAGCGGATACCTCGCCTGCGCCATAGGTGACGCAGGTTGGCAAAAGCCGATAGAACGTTATGTATCCGAGTTGAGATTTCGTGGCTGAGTAGACCGGGTATTCACACTTAATCAATTACTCGTACACAAATTTAAGTGCCTAGCAATAGTAGCGCTTCTCTACCTGAGGGCAGCGTTTTACCCCGTCGATCGTAAGGTTCTATGGCAGTATCTGCTATTGGAAGGAGTACCAAAAAAGTAACTTAACGATATAAAATATCTCTTCGCAAACACTACTGGCCAGTTTACTATTTTAAGAGGTGTTCTTGAGGGCTGTTCACTTTCTCCATTCTTATTCAACTTTGTCATAGACATGCTTTCTGAGAGAATATTATCAGGGTGGACCTTCCACCAGGACACTTGCTTGTTGACCAATAATAAGTAGAATAGAAAATGGAGAAGAGTGACAAAATGGAGTCGCTTGATCATCTTAGGCAACAATGCACCATGTTTAGGATGCGATTCTACCTCTGAAGATACAAAATGTTGCTTTAAGATTGGCTTGCATCGACAACATGAACTAGTGATAGGAAGTAAAGTAGTTGGGCGAGTCGACCGCTTCACTTACTTGGGGAGTCAGTCAGTTACAGCGTAGAACTTCGTACGTACGTACATCAGTTCCGGTTGCCGTACCACGTTAGCACAGAGACGCAAATGTTAAATCAAATCCAATAGTGGTAGCGATAGTAGAAGTATTCGCAGTAATGGAGAAGATTAAAGTTTGAAGACATGATTCGAGAAGTATAATTCAGTGAGATAAATTTAGAGAGATAGAGATGATGGGAAATCCAGATTAGGATTTGAGAAAACACAATGAATGAATGCACCTGCACCATTTTAAGCGATTTTGAGCCATGTCATTCAAGGTCTCTAACCATTGGTGACTTTTGTCTCGTGGACCTCAACCAGGTAGCCTACATCTACCAACATGACTCAGTCCATTGGTTAGTGAGTCTCGTCAGTGCTGATGGAATGGTTCCTGACGAAATCTCAGCACGCATACAGAAGGCTCGACTAGATTCAGCGAACTTGCGTAATTTATGGCGTTGGCTAGATATCCATCTGCTAACCAGAGGACGGGTTCACTGCGCAGCAATTCACTCCGTCTGACTTTATGGCTATGAACCATAGCCAGTAAGAGTAAAAGATATTCGTAGGTTACTGATTTTCGATCATAGGTGTCTTTGAAGCATTGCTCGTTTATTTTGCTATGAAGAATTGGTAGGAAGAAAGCTAGGGGCGGCCAGATCAAAACACGGCAGAAATCAATGAAGTCACTGACAAGTGGACTGCATCATATTGGTAGGTGTCGACTACGAGATGATAGTAATCGATGGTTCGAGACCTTGTACGATATGACTCAGAACCGTTTGCAATGGCCCAGATGCATCCGTTCTTTGTGTTCTCTCAAATCCTAATCTTCCAAATTTCTCGTAACTTTCATCTTTCTTTTTTTAAACCCATTTCACGAGGATATTCTCGGATCAGATCTTCGTACCCTAATCTGCTCTATTACTGTTAATACCTGATTGACTGTTAATACCTCAGCTACCTCTACTACAATGGGATTTGAATTGATACTTCAATCTCTCTGTGCTATTGTGTTATAGCAACTTGGATTGATTTGTGTACGTACAAAGTACAACATTGCTGCTGACTGGCTAAAGATTATGAAAATAGTTTCTGAGTATGCCGGTGTTTGCACATGCCTTCAGAAGGTAATCTTACGTTACATCATTGCAGCAAACTCACACATCTATCCTGAACACAAACGGAGGAAGTGTAGAACATAGGCAGCCTTGTTATGAATAATACTACTGACAAGTTTCTGAGAAAAAGCTTCGATTTAACAGGATGGATATATTTTGAATCAAAAACATATTTTGAGAAGGTTTACCGATTAATTCACTGCCATGTTACTCTTACAGTATACAGGAGAGTAGTGAAAGGATACATGGAGATATAAAAATGATCAGCTAGAAAAACAACTACTTAAGATTAGAAGTGTATTTGTTCAGCGGAAGCTAAAACACATTACATACTGTATGTTGTCAAAAACTAACCATACTGGAACAACAAAAGCTGAAACACATGATGGAGGGATAAAGCTTCTAACAGAACAACATATATTTTTTCTAGACCATACAATGTTTTTAGTCGTCATAATCAATTACAGCCAACTCAGGTTTATCATATCCAAGTTGTTCTAAGGTTGGCAAACCAAGCTGTTTCATAGTGGGTTCTATCTCTTTTTGAAGCCATTCCCAAGCACCTTTGCAAACTTGGCACTTAAACTAAGGAGCAATCAGATCAATTCAAAATAACCTACCTTCACCGATTCAATAAACCTAATAGCTAGGGCGATGTCGTTGAGGCGTCTACAAGCCTTAAGACCGCTAATTACTACCTCTGGGGGAGGAACAGCATCTTCTAGATGGAGATTCTGCATCCATTTTCTAGCCCACCAACTGTCAATTTTAGGATTATCAAATGCTTCGACAAAACGTGACAAAAACACCTCGTAAGGCTCAGTTGCATTCTCATACTGAGGATTAGTCGAATGATTCACACGCTGGTTAACGTAAATGCTTGGAACAGTTTTCGAGTAACCTAAACATAAATAATTTATTAAGCGATTCTAATACTTTTTACAAGGTTGTTTAACGCCAAACGAATCATCATCGGGAACGCGCCAACCAATCCAATATCCAATATCCAATTTCTTTTTCACGAGCTAGTGTAAACCAACTCATTTCTTCGCGCTCGATTCTTAATCTTTCCGTACGGTTCTAGATGTTTGATAGTGTTCAACGGATGGGGGTCTGGTCACTCGCCTGCCTAATTCTAGTCAGTTGGCAGTTGTTTGTGAGCTGGTTTGAATGAATAAGTTTGTTTCAGGTTAGTAGGATTTCTAGATACCAGCAGCTATCACATTACCAGACCAGACATCAGGTAGTTGCAATAAGGAGAATAATAAGTACAAAAGTCCAATGCTAATAAGAATTAGATTTCAGTAATGAGTAAATAAATGGATAACATAGTTTAATAAATAGTAGTAAAGATTGAGAGAGAGGACTGAAGGGTAAGCGAGGGAGAAGAAACAGAGATAATAGGTGAGATAGATTAAGTCAGTGATCTGAATAGATGACCATAGTATCGATTAGCGAGTCTCAAGATATGCATTAAGCACAGTTGTACATGAAGGAGGTGACAATCCGTGAGTATATGTTTATCAAGAGGCTGTGGTCACCTCTTCTGGGTGAGCTTTACAAGTTGCAAGGACTCCTGATTGGGAGAAGAGTGAACGAACCTGAGTGTTCACTCGTTGATTAGCAATTTTTCGAGGATTACCTCGAAGGGAGTGGAGCATCTTAATGCTCACGTTGGTATGGTTTGATGTGCTTAATATTTTGTAAGCCATGATCAGATGAGGTATGACTTTCCTGTAAACCAGATAGATTAATCCCTCGTTCTGTTTTCCTAAGTTCAATTTTTCAACCCTATAATCCATATTTCAACTGGTTCATTAATAATGATTTGTTTGTTATAAAATCACAAAATGCTATCAGGGATACATCAGTTTACAGGGATGATCTAGATTTTCAAAATGTTAACATATTTTCTGCAGTTACGTAAAGATTTCTCACAATGCACTAACTACTTAAAGACAGTTAAAGTTTTCCAAATAAAATTAAAGATATTTTTCAGACTTCACAATATACAATACGATAATTGGCGCGAGTTACGACGAGACACCAATGGGTGAGAACCAATGCAAGATAAATCCAGGTCTGCATATAGCAAGATTTGACGAGGTTAATGAGCAAAGATCTTGTTTATATTGGTCCGATGATGAATTTACAGGCTCCTAAGAAAAATAACCAAGTCTTCGGCGGATATCCAGAATCTGGAAAGAATCTATCTTTATTTAGAGCTGACTCGTGACTCAGTAGATAATATTTTCGGATAAAACAAAGGTATGACTACTCAGACCACTCATTTTCGTGTTAGAACACTAACTGTACAACTGCATTTATGTAGTGTGATAAAGACAAGTCACTAGTAGAATATCTAATTGGTTTTTACGTCCCCCATGGTCCTTCTAAATTTTTTATTGATCGATTTTTATTGGTCAATTTGGTTCTTTGTGGTGTGGTCTGGTTAAATCCAAGTGCCTCTTTTTATGCATTTGGTAAGGCATATGGTGCCGCCTATGACCAGCTTGTTGAAGGAACATTGGTTTGCAAATCTCTCACAATTTTCGGTCCCTTCTTTAAGCCCTTGGCGTATCTTTATGTCTTTATATCCAACCTTGGCATTTATATCTATCTTCGGAAAGGTCAAATCCTTTGATAGGCATCTTTCAACGATTAACTGCAACCTTTGTTAGGACCGATCTTTGACTTCCTCATACAAGGTGGTTGTTAGGTGCATAGCATTGGATGAGGTTCATTGTAATGCACTCTTTCTTTGTTTTGAAAAACAATTATAGTCAGGCTGAACAAGTTGAATATATAATTGGCGTAATAAGCATGCATAAACGCACACTCGAACAAAATCAAACAAATATATGAATAAAAAGAAGGGAAGGTTGCACGATGTACAGATAACTTGACTAGAATAGATTGATTGGATTGTCGAAAGGCTGAGACAAGCCTCATGATTTCGAAACAGTCCTACATGTGTTTCGTTGTCAAAAAAATTATTGGTACAAGTATGCACCAAAATATTATACTGAATCCACATTCATGAACAGAAAGTGATTAGTTAAATAAACACATTCATTACTATAACCTCTTCCACCAGTGATTTTTTGACGGTATTTTAGTTTATCCTGATGCCAATGAATTCACTGCAGCTATTTGGTTGATCACTAAATGATTCATATGTTTTAAGATTCAAATTTTTAATTTACTACTTGAGTAATTAGTAACTAGTATTTAGTGGTGACCATAGCCAATCACGACTCGGTTACCACTAAAATTGGTGAGCAGGTGTGCTGTTCAAAGAAGCCAATTACGGTGAGTCTATTATTCATCTATCCTCATTTTTATCAAGTTGCAGTACTATTACTAACGTCCTTTAATACATATTATACTTGCGACAACGTTTCGAAATGGTGCATAGCTATAATAATGGACTCCGAGGTGCAGTTCATTGCATTTTCACTTATCTCCTCCCCGTCACCCCAGGTTGCTCATTTATTTTACTTGCACGCATATGTACTAACGCCATGTACTTGGTGGCCAAGCGCTAAGAATAACTCAGTCATTCCTACCTATGGTACACGACAGCCGATGTTCCTACAGCTGTACTCGGTATAGATTTCATACAGCAGCCAGTCGATTCACCTAGGCTACAGCTAATTGATACTTCGTCGAACAGCGAATTCATGGGCTTTCGAGCTCAAACACGTGCGCACCGTATTACAGAGCTATTTCATTCACGCTTTACTCGAAACATTTCCCCAGCTAACTAAACCACTCGAGCAGAATCAATCGGTGGCTCATCATGTGGTACACCACATCGTCATCCTCAGACCACTAGTCACGGTAAAGCCTCGCCGACTGGCACCGGACAAATTAGCTTTCGCTAAACGTGGGTTTGACAGTTTACTAGTTACAGGTATTATTGGTCCTTCTCATAGTCCTTGGGCCTTACCATTCCACATGGTTGGCAAAAATGATGGGATAAGTTGGCGACCATGTGTCAACTGCAGACTATTAAACGTAGTGACACGTTTCGAATGCCATCCCGTACCCCACATATGCGACATCACGGCATCACTCAATGGGCACGAGTACATTTTCTAAGATTTATCTGGTATGAGCATATCATCAGATCCCGTCGCTCATGAAGATATCGAGAACACTGCTATCGCGACTCCTTTCGTTCTTTGTGAATTGCTACGAATTCCATTTGGATTACGGAATACTGCTCAAACTTTACGAAGCTTTATCGATCAAACAGTATTAGACTTTGCTTTTGTTCACGTCTATATTGATGACCTGCTAATCACATCATCAAACGTAGATGAAAATTACCAACAGATTAAATAAAACACCACAACAGCTTTATATTACTGTGCCTCATTATTCTATTTTGTAAATCAATATTATTACTAACAACTTGGTTCTTCTGAATTTCCTCTATTCATTCGACTAACTTCCCATTAGTTATCTCACTACTGAATTGTCTTCATTAACCTACATAAGTGCAGGTGTACAGTTAGTGTTCTGATATTAAAAAAGTCTGAGTAAACATACCTTTGTTTTATCCATAAACGTATGTGCAAAGCCGTTGTTCGGCTTTGAACAAGAATATTTTCTGTTCCGCTCCTCGTCCCGTTTTCTTTATTCCTCTTTTTTCAGAACCTTATTCCAATCCACATATATTAGTCTGGATATTTTCAGTAGACTTGGTTACCCTACCCAAGAACATGTGAAATCATTAGCTGATGAATATCAACCAGACCTTTGTACATTTATCGCATCAATTCTTGTCATATGCAAACCTGGCTCTACCATATATCATTTCTCAGTCCATAAGATGATTGTTATAACGCGACCTTCGTAACGTGCGCCAATTATTCGCATTGTACATTCCATCATTAGGAATCCAATGAATCTCGTGAAATGTTTCAGTAACTGTATACCGTTTTAAAAGAAATATGTTGCTAATCTTAACATTTTGATCTTGCCTGTAAATTGGCATTTCTCTTGTAACATGTATGTTATTTGAGAATAAATTATTATTATTATTCTCTGTAAAAGTTATAGCAGTTAAATTAAGTACAAAAGTCTGTTTCTGATAGCATATTTACACCATGTCACAGACAGAAACAGTATAATACAGACACATTTTCAATAGTAGAGTACAAATAAGGAAGGTTCACAATAGGTTCTTTTGGCAATTCGCCGAGATCAATAGTGAATTTGTTGGGGAAGGTCATATGGAACACGCTTGATACGAGCTGTGATCCAGACAGTCATGTACATAGGTTGCCAAAGATTTCCCACCGTGAATGGGAATTATTAATACATCGCCTACAACCAGTTTTACCGTTCTCACATGAACTCTGTTGACGTAATATTGATATAATATTGTTATCTACCCCCAATTTTAACTGTAATTCCCCTCAACTATCTTTCTTACTTCCTCAAAACCATATCCGCCAATACATTCTCTATGCCTATAGTTTTCTTGGAAAGCGGTGCATTTTGTTTACGCAAACGTGTTGTAATAATTCATAGTTCATAGTTTGTAACTGCGAAACAAATTTGTGAAATAAACTTGTACCAGCAACGTTTCACAACAGGATATGAAACTTAGAGCCTCAAGTAGAACATAAAATATTATCTGATCATCATTTTACTTGGGTCTAGCAAGTGGATTCACTATAGCAGCCCTCCGCTAGTAAGGGTTCACAAGTTTGATACGTAGCGATTTCGTTCGAGGGAATGATCGGTAAAACGTGCGATTGTAGGCCGAAAAGGTTGACGAACAGCAAGCAATCCATAATACTCGAGTTGTCACCGAAGGTCTTTCATGGAGAATGGTACCAGCGGTAATGGGCCGTGTTTGCTGCTCCAGTTGGCGTGCCACACCAGCGTGACTCGTATCCAGAATCCGAAGATTGTGTTCGTAGCGGTCCGGACCAGAAAACGCTGCAGACGTAGGACAGAACCAGATTGAGCGAAGGAGCTGGAGGCTACCGTAACGACCAAGTTAGAATGCCAGTTATA